TTATCTTTGTTGTACTCTTTCTTGAAAGGTCTTTTTCCTTCATAATTGTTTTTCTTGAAGTGCTTTTTGAGATTTCTACTAAACATGGCATAGCTTTCACCCTCACTGGAGTTTTCATGTTCTTCTTCATTTGATGAGGCTTTGAATGCAATTTCACTTTTCTTTTTGTTTTCAACATCCTCATGTCCTTTCATGGTGATCTTATGAGTCATAAGGGAACCCATAAGCTCATCAAATCCAAGTGTGGAGAGATCTTTGGTTTCTATAATGGCGGTGACCTTTGCTTCCCAATTCTTTGGTAAACACCTAAAAAATTTTCTTACCAACTCACTGTTAGTATAAGTTTTGCCAAGAGATTTCAAAGAGTTTACAATTTCAATAAATCTAGTAAACATACTTGAAGTAGATTCATCAAAGTTCATTTTAAACAATTCATAACTATGAACAAGCATATCAATACAAGATTCCTTTACTTAGTTTGTACCTTCATAATTACTTCAAGTTTGTCTAAAATTTATTTTGCCGAATCACAACTTGAAATTCTATTATACTCCCTAGAGTCTAATCCACAAACAATGGTAAGTTTGGCTTTAGCATTGGCTTGCAATAATTTGTGATCCCTCTCATCACATTCATCTTCAGTTTTAGGTACACTAATATTGTCTACTAATTTGGTAGGAATTTTGAACCTTTGGTGACAATAATCCACATAGCATAATCAGTGGCTTGTAGGTATATGGTTATTTTATCTTTCCAATGACTATAGTTGTTTCCGTCAAATAATGGTGGCCTATTGGTAGCTTGTCCTTCAGTAGTGCTAGTGCTAGCTAAGGTTGCCATGGATCAAAACTCTTAGATGGTTAAATCTAAAGTAAGAGTCTAGGCTCTGATACCAATTGTTACCCAAAAGACAACCTAAGGGGGGTGAATTAGGTTTTTAAAATTAAAATTAATAATATCTTAATAAAAATTATGACTAGCACAATAAATAAATATAATTAATGAAATACAAATAATTAAAACAAGTGTCTTAACAACTATGTTAGTTAACGATTTTAGCACAGTAAAAATGTGAAATATAGCTATGGCAATTTAAAATAAAATAAAGAGATAAGGGAGAGAGAGGCAAACAAATTTATAGTGGTTCGGTTTTAACTCGGCCTATATCCACTCCTCAAGCTTCACTTAAGGTTTTCCATTATACTATAGCTTCACAGGGTGCTAGCAACCTTTTCACAGATGGAGCAATCCTCCACAGATTTTACACTGACTTTCTAAGTCAAGAACACTGAGTGTACTACACTCTTACAAGGTTGAAAAGAAGGTGTTTTTGCTTTCACAGAAAGCTACAAGAATTATCTCTCAAAGATAGATATAAAAATGAAACTCTGATTTTTCTGTAAATCTCACACAGGAAAGATGGCTTAAAGCTATAAAGCTCAGTATATAATTTCTGAGTAGGGGTGAACAACGGATATACCGATCCGCCAAAACTGACCGAATCGAACTGAACCGATCCGCCGCATTTTGGACGGATGCGTGATGACGAGCAGGCGGTTGCAGATTGATTTTCTCCAATTCGCCAATCTGGCGGACGGATGGCGAATTTGAGATTCCTTTGACCGCAACCGAACTGTCAAACCGCTAGCACCCCTAGTAATTTATAAGACTTTGTGTTTTCAGTTTGTTTAAATATTCTGTTTGTGTTTTCAATTAAAAAAAAGTTTAAATATTCTGTTGAAAAAAAGTTTTCAACTTAAATTTCTTTTTTGAATTGAAAAAAATAAACGTATTATTTATCTATATTTTTTGATTTTTAAATCTATCTCTAAAAATAATAAATAGAAAATATGATATATGCTGGTTGGTTTTTGTTTTCAAAAACAAATATAGATGTAACAATACAGAGACATACAATCCTACTACTGCTTTGCTTATGATTTTGGTGGTTTGAATTGTTTTTATATTTTAAGAACCACAGATTATAATACTTTATGTAGATGAGGCATGCTGTGATTGTGATATTCTAAAGTTTCAAACTTTCTTGTTTTGGATGAGGCATGCAGTGATTGTAATTTTTTTTAAGTCATTGACTGTAATACTTTCTTCTTCTTTTTTTTGAGGAAGTGCATACGTTGAATTATGTTGAAAATTTATAAAATTTTAAACTGCCAAACCGATTCGCATCCATCCGCCAAATCGTCAATCCACTCAATCCATATCTGCCGAATTGGCGGATTGATGCGGATTGATTTTCTCTAATTCGCCAATCTGTTGGAGGTTTCGTGGCCGTAACCGACTCGCGCCCACCTTTATTTCTGAGAGATGATGTAAACAAAAATTGAATAACACTTCTTAGAGAATTTTTCATAGAATAGATGTGAGTGATTATAGATCAAAGAATATTTTCTGGTTTTTCTTGTCACTTGTTTACATTAGAGGGTTTGGTATATATAATGAAACTTATAGCCGTTTATAGCCGTTGTATTCATTTGAATTTATAGCCGTTATAGCCGTTGTACTCCATCATTACTAATTTGAATATCTTCCACTCCATCATTACTAATTGAATATTTTTCACTTGAACCTTTTGAACCTTTTGAACTGTTGCTGTGTTGGGCTGTTTGAACCTCTGTTTCGGGCTATTTGAACTCCTGATTTAATCAACTATTAAATACATTCTAACAACATTTAGGATAAAGGTTTAGGTGAAAAATAATGGGATAAAATAAATTTTGATTCTATTTTTCTCTTTCAAAATAAATGTTGATTATATTTTTCTCTTTCAAATAAATTATCAAAATAAATTTTGATTCTATTTTTCTCTTCCAAATAAATTAAAAGCATAATTAAATAAATCATCAAAATAAATAAGTCTAACAAAGTCTACTACCTATTTTTCTTCTTCATTCTTCCTATTTATTCGTTCTTCTCTCTCTATTTCTCTTCCTGATTTCCGATGACCGGAAACCATTCCTTATTTTTTCTCTTTATCCTTCTAATGTATAATTACCAATGACCATCATTACTTGAGAGTTCACCAGCAACCATCGATTATTGGCTCCTAACTTCACCATCATTGACGGTGAAAGAAACGAGTTTCCAGCGAAGAAGATAAGTAGATCTACTATCAGATCTGAATAGATCTACATGAGATCTGACTAGATCTAAACCAAAAATAGTTGTTGGAGTACAATATTCTCTCTCTATCTGTTTCTTTTCTTCAGTTTCTCAAATTTTCTATCTTCTCTGCTACATGTTTCTATTTTCTTGTTTCAATGGAGAAAATTTTTAAATTCTGAACAAGTTGTTTTTAATTTTTAGTTATAGGAGATGAAAATTGTAAAATTTTACAGTTTCATAACATTATTTAAAATTGTAAAATTTTGCAGTTTCATAACATGTTTTTCAATTTGATTAATAAAGATAAATACTTAGTAGAATAATGCTTTGAAACTGTAACATTTTACAATTTTAAAGCTTCATTTTTAGTTTGATTAATATTTGAGATTATTTGTTTAAACTCTATAAAAATTGAAAAATAATATATATACTTTTTCCCATTATTATTTGTTGTTGTTATGTTTTTTTTTTCCTCTCAGTTTATCAATATTTAACACATTTTGTTATATTTTTTCACTATAATTTTTTCATTTATTCTTTTTAGGGTGAATTACACTAACAGTCCCTATAGTTTGGGGCTTGTGTCATTTTGGTCACTGACCTTTCAATTGTAACACATTTAACCATGAATTTTGAATTTTGTTCCAAATTAGGACAATTGAATATACTATTGGATTTTTTAAGGGTAAAATTGTCAATTTGATAAAATATAAATTAATTTGACAAAAATAAATGTTAAAAAATTATTTTTAAATTTTTAAAAATTACTTCTACCTACTAAAGATAAAATTATATAAAATTGATAACTCTTTAGAATTTTTTTTTTACCAAATTAATTTTTATTATGTATTTGGATGATGATCATGTAAAATTAATTTTTTAAAATTAATCATGTAATTTTTATTAATTTTTATCAATTTTACATAATTTTATTTTTAGTGGGTAGAAATAATTTTTTAAAATTTTAAAATATTTTTTTGACATTTATTTTTGTCAAATTAATTTATATTTTATCAAATTGACAATTTTGCCATTGAAATTAAGCAATGGTATGTTAATTGTTCTTATTTGGAACAAGATTCAAAATTCAAGGTCAAATGTGTCACAATTGAAAAGTTAGGGATTAAAATGACACAAACCCTAAACTATAGGGACTATTAGTGTAATTTGCCATTCTTTTTATTTATTTATTTATGGCAATATTCTAGATATTTCGGTGAGTTTCTAATGATATTCTTAACGTGCAACGAATATATTGAACATTCCGGCGACTTCCAATAATGTTCAGAACACTCCGGCGAACTTTCAGCGATACTCTGACAACTTCTGATGATGTTGAATATTTCGGCGAGCCTTTGATGGCCGTCTAATCGAAGTCCGACAATAGTAGAATGTAATAGCATTTTTAAAGTTTATAAAAAAAATTGGTACAGTTAGGGTTGGTTTGGAAAGTGGGTTGACTTTTTGACTTTTTAACTTTTTTTAGCTATTTTAGCTTGGGTTAAAAAGCTTGGTTTGGGAAGGGTTTTTTGGCTTTTTGACTTTTTTTATGAGAGAAGAGTGTAATAATTATGGATTGGATGTGATGTTTTGTTTTTTGTGACTAAAATAGTTTATTTTATCTTTTATGGCTAAAATAATAAAAAAAAAATCCAAAATCTAAGTTGCCAAATAGAGTTAAAAACATGTTGGAGTAAGATAATTAATATAAATATTTTATTTGAAACTAGGTAAATTTTAAATTTTATATATAAAACTTACTAATAAATGATCCTTAAAATAACACATATACTCTTATTATATTACCCGTCCGAACTGAGCCTGGCAAGGTCGATGTTTGTTGATTCCTAAATTACACCACAACTATAATTTTTTTTTAAAGTGAGATGTCAATATGATTTACATGACAGAACAATCTTTAAAATTAGTATAAAATTCCTTGGAATTATCTCTCTCTCTCTCTCTCTCTCTCTGATAATCCCATATGTTGGAGGTTGGTCTCTGATTGTTTCTCCGGAGACCCCAAGCCCCCCCTTCCCCTTGTTTCTAGTCAACACGGACTCTTTCTCTCTCTCTCTCTCTCTCTCTCTATCTCTCTACACCTTCTTCCAAGAAAATTCTTATCTCCTTCAATCTCAATACATATTAATTTATATTAAAATTAGAGTTTGTTGATTGTGAAATTGGTATCGGATTCGATTCCATTTGCTGTGAAATTTGAATTTCGTGGTATTTGGATGGCGTCGGAGATCGAGGTCGTTGAGGAGATCGAATCGAGAGATCGGGAATCGGCTGCGGCGGCGGCGGCGGCCGGCGGTGGAGAGGCGGAGATCGGAGGAGGAGGAGGCGGAGGCGGAGGCGGAGGAGAAGACGAGAGCCTGAGGAACGACGTGTATACGGCGGCGGCGTACGGGGATTTGGAGAAGCTTCAGAGATTGGTGGAGTGCGAGGGTTGCTCAGTATCGGAGCCCGATGGTCTCGGCTACTACGCCTTGCAGTGGGCGGCTCTCAACAATCGCACAGCTGCTGCTCAGTATATCATCGAGGTCTTCAAATTCATTCATAGTTCTTTAATCTCCCTGAAATCTGTGCTTTTTTTTTTTGTGGATTAGGTCTCTGAGATCGCTGTTGAGCTTTTGTATTTGATTTGTTGAAATTCATTCCATGGTTTTAGCTATTTTATTTGCATTTCTGCCTCTGTTTGCTCATACTTGCATGTAGGTATTTTATTTGGTTAACATTTTAGTAATTTGAGCTAGAGATATGTTCATTTGACATATTTATAAATGTTCTTTCTATGAAAACTCTGTCTTGTTTGTGAATACTCACTCAAACTTGATCACAAAATATGTGTTTGTAATTGGTAGTGAGCACTTCACAAAGAAAAAAAATAATAAAGAAAGAAGAGTTATTTATTTATTTTATATCATATGTATGAAAAATGCTTAAGACCCCTAAAGTTTCACCCTAGATTTTCCCTAATGATGTGGATTGTTGTATATTTATTATTGATTTGTTTAGGTATCAATCAACCAAGCTAAATACCAAACCCCTTGTCAGGTTAGGATGGGGATGGGTGAAATTAGGCGTCCTGTTTTAGGAGTCGCTAGTATTACTTGTGTATATAAATTATTATCTATTTAGTCATTTGAGCTATAGATATGTCCATTTGACATATAAAATGTACTCTTTAAGGCTATCACTCAGAATTTTACTCAAATTTGAGTAAAAACTTTATTTAGTATGAACCACTCCACTGGACAAATTCGTATTTAAGCATAAATTTGAGACCGAAAATATTTCCATGAAAATTTTGAGTAAAACTCAATTTGTATAAGTTTAGGTCAGTGAGTGGAGGCTGTTTTAAGTGATTTTTATCCAAATTTAAGTTTGATATATAGTATGGAGTCAAGGATTGGAGATACCCCGAGGAAACTGTCTTGTTTGTGAATATTCTCTTATCTCTCTCAAACTTAAGTCTCAAATATGTGTATGTAATTGGTAGTAAGTACTTCAGAAAGAAGAAAAAAATGGTATTTTTATATATTATATTATAACATATATATAAATTCATTTATTGTACATTGAAAATAAAATGGAGTGATCTCTTCTTGCTCCCTTCTACCCTATATCTCTGCTTGTTTGGTTTTGATATGAAATGAAAGTACATGGTAAATAGAGGAACATTACTCTTACTGTTATCTGATCATCACTGGATCATATGCATTTGGTAGCATGGCGGAGATGTGAATGCTTCGGATCTTACTGGGCAAACGGCACTACACTGGAGTGCAGTCCGGGGTGCAATCCAGGTCGCAGAACTTTTATTGCAAGAAGGTGCTCGGGTTCGTGCAGCCGATATGTATGGGTATCAGGTTAGTGTTCCTTCCTCTGATCGTCATTTATTGGTTATGGATGAAATTACTAGGAATATTCAAGAGTATATCACCCTTGTTATATATTTTTTTTCCCAGACGTCAGCCGATATAGTTTTATTTGATGAAACAAGGTCAGTAAACTTCAAGGTATAATTGTGGAGAGATACTTTAGAATCTAAAAGATTTATGTTAAGTAGGACTAAGAAAAAATATGCAGAGTACAAATTTAGTCAAACTAGAAATAAGATGAAGATGGAGTAAAACTTGATGGATAAAAGATACCTAAGTGTGACCATTTTTGTATCTTGGGTCAACAATTCGTAAAGAATGAGAGATAGAGGAGGATTTAACCCATAAAATTAACCCATAAAATTAGAAAGGATGGATGAAATGAAGAGTGCATCAGGCATATTGTGTGATCATAGAATTGCTAGCTATTAAGTCAAAAGAAATTTTTTTGTAGGACTGTTATAAGAACTTCTATGTTGTATATGTAGGTTTTCTGAATGTTTTCTGTATATTCAAACTTGTATATTTACAAAGAGTGCATCAGTTATATAGCCCTAATCTATGACAGAAAAAGGAAATACAAAGAAAAGGAAATTGCCTAATTCGTAATATACACAAGCTAGGAAATTGCCTAATTCCAAGTATACCATATATACAATATATATTCTCACACCCCTTCTCAAACTTAAGATGTTTTAGCAGAAAATATTGAGAGTTTGCTAAGAAGAAACTGAAACCGAGCGGTAGTATGAGTCTTGGTGAAGAAGTCCGCAAGTTGCAAAGTCGAGGAGACAAAAGGAAGCGAGATAGAGCTAGACTGCAGATGCTGTCAGATAAAGTGACAATCAATCTCAATGTGTTTCGTTCGTTTATGGAAGACAGTATTGTGGGCAATCTGAATAGCACTGCAGTTGTCACAATAGAGGGAGGTTGGAAAAGACTGAGGTACACCCAAATCAGAGAAAAGACAACGAAGCCAATCAAGCTCAGCAATAGCATGAGCTATAACACGGTACTCAGCTTCGGCAGTAGAGCGAGCAACAAGAGTTTGTTTCTTGCTTTTCCAAGAGATCAAGGAATCGCCAAGGAACATACAGAAACTAGAGGTGGACTTGCGATCAATAACATCACCAGCCTAATCAGAGTCAGCATAGGCCACCAAGTCTAAAGAGGAAGTAGATGATAACAACAAGCCCTGAAAGATGGTACTCGGGAGATAGCGAAAAATGCGAACCAAAACAGCCAAATGGGTAGAGCGAGGAGCAGAAACGAACTGACTAACCACATGAACAGTGTAAGCATGATTAGGGCTAGTGACAGTCAAATAAATTAAACAACCCACTAGCTCGCGATAGACCGTGGGATCATCTAGAGGGACACCATCAGTTGAGTTGAGCTTCACATTAAGCTCAATAGGCGTATCAGAAACCTTAGTAGCAGTAAGACCGGCACGGTGAATAACCTTATTAGCATACTTGGCTTGAGGTAGAAAATAGCCCTTTGGAGAAGAGGCACCCTCAATACCCAAGAAAATACCGCAATGGATCCAGATCCTTCATTTCGAAGGTGCGGAAGAGGTGTTGTTTGACCTCAGAAATAGCAGAAGAGTCAGAGCCAGTGATGATCATATCATCCACATAGAGTAAGAGAGCAACAAAACCAGCCGAGGTATATCTCAGAAACAAAGCAAAGTCGGAAACAGAAGGATGAAACCCAAGCTCGGTAACGACAGTCTGAAAACGATCATACTAAGCACGAAGAGACTGCTTCAAACCATACAGAGCACGTCGAAGACAACAAACCTGCCCAGAGGAGTGGAGAAGACTAGGGGGAGGACGCATGTAGACCTCCTCAGTGAGATGACCGTTAAGAAAAACATTCTTAACGTCCATCTGATAGAGAGGCCAAGAATGAACAACAGCGACAGAGATCAAAGTACGGACAATATCCATCTTGGCAACAGGAGTAAAGGTCTCCTCATAATCAATACCATACTCCTGTGAGAAACCTTTGGCAGCCAGACGAGATTTGTAGCGCTCAAGGGATGACTTTGTAGACCCATTTACAACTAGCCAAATTCTTACCAGTAGGCAAATGAACCAACTCCCAAGTACGAGTTTTTTGTAAAGCAGAGAACTCATCCTCCATAACTTGAACCCAATGAGGATCCTGACAGGCCTCCTTGTAAGATTGAGGTTCTGAAAAAGAGTGAATAGCAGACAAAAAAGTACAATAGGAAATAGAAAAATATGTATTAGACCAACCCAATCTGTTTGGAGGATGACGCGCTTGAGTAGGATATCGGTGTGCAGTAGGATCAGAGTCGTCAGAAGCAGGGGGATCAGCAGTAGGGGTAGAGACAACTAGTGGAGGAGGAGCCTTGCGACGAGAATAAACTAACGGAGGAGGAGAAGAAGCACCTAGAGGTGAAGCAGGAGGAGAAGATGAAACAAGCTCAGGGGGAACTGTGGAGATATACTCATCAAACGGAACCTCAGAAGGAAATGGATCACTATGAACCAAATCCTCTTTGGAAACTGGGGTGGTGAGAAGAGGAAGCTGAAAGTAAGATAGACGTTCGAGAAAGTTAACATGGCGGGAGACATAAAGGCGACGGGAAACAGGTTCATAACAGCGATAACCTTTTTGAGTGAGACTATAACCAAAAAAGATACATAAGAGAGACCGAGCACTAAGCTTGGTTCTATCTTTATGGGGTAAAAGGACAAAACAAGTAGACCCAAACACATGAAGGAGGGAGTAATTAGGAAGCTGAGAAAACAGAGCCTCATAAGGAGACCGACCAGAAAGAAAGGGGTAGGCATACGGTTGAGAAGAAAAGCAACAGTAAGAACTGCCTCACCCCAAAACGGAGCCGGAACAGAGGCAGAGAGAAGGAGAGACCTTGCTGTCTCAAGGAGATGGCGGTGTTTACGCTCAGCTCGACCATTTTGGGCAGGTGTATCAGTGTAAGAAGTTTGGTGAATGGTACCCAATTTGGCCAAATATTCATAGAATTCAGTTTTAAAGTATTCCCCACCCAAGTTAGACCGTAACAATTTAATAGTAGATCCAAACTGTGTAGTGACCATAGACTAAAAAGTACGGTATATCTGGCAGAAGTCAGACTTATGAGTCGTAAGATAAACCCAAGTGTAACGAATGCAGTCATCAACAAATGACACATAATAGGCAGAACCTCCTTTGGTGAGAATAGGAGAAGGGTTCCAAACATCAGTATGAACTAAAGAAAATGGTGTATCAGATATAGAAGTACTTTTCTGAAAAGGTAAGGCTATTATTTTAGCAAATTTACACCCCCAATATTTAGTAAGTTCACTAGAAGAAATTTTACCCAATATATTAGACTGAGCTAAACACCATAAGCGATCAGCAGACAAATGCCATAATCTAGAATGCCACAAGTAGAAAGGATTAGACAAAGAATCTAACTGAAAGAGGAAAGGGCAGTCAGGGAGGTTGCCATAGGCAAATGGAAGCTCTCTACCACGTAGAGGTCTCCAACTCGACGACCGGTCTCAATCTGCTGTTTAAATATCCGATCCTGCACAGAACAGATAGAAGAAGAAAAGATAACATCAAAATCAGAGGCATTAAGCTGACTGATAGATAATGAGCTGACAGATAACTGAGAAACATAAATGACAGATAGAATAGAGACGGCAAACATAGCAGACGATAAGACAGATCCAACAGATACAACAAACCCATTAGCAGCATTAATAGTAATAAGAAAGGGGGGAGGAGTACAATTTTGAAGTAAAGAGAGATGGGGAGTCATATAATGAGGCACCAGAGTCAAAAATCCAGACAGACAAAGAAATACTTGAAGAAGACCCAAGCAAACCTGAATGAATAGAAGAAACAATGGAGCCAGACGGGGATGACTGGGAAGTAGACAATATATGCTGAAGTTGACTAATCTGAGCAGTCAAGGAAGCCAAGTCAGATCAGGAGCCGGAGCAGATGCAGTATACGCAGCAGGAGGAGCCTGTAATAGGTTATGATATTGCTGAAAAGATGAGGCAAACAGACGTCCCTTCTTGGGATAGTGGTACTTCCAATGGCCCTTCTAATGGTAGAAGGCACACTCATCAAAAGCCAGAGACATCGTAATACTCAGAAGATTGAGGGGTTCTAGTACAATCAAACAAAGTAGCCAAACCAGGGGTTTAAGTGTAATAATCAAAATCTGAGGGGTCAAACTATAATAATAACTTAACAAGTGAGCCAACAGGTATAAATGTAATTCTTGTCAAAATATAATAAGGGTTCAACAGTATTGATAGTCACAATGACAGAGATGGAGAAAACTAGGATCCGAGAGTCGTGATGATCAGATGAGGCCGACGAGCATTGAGAGAGACACGATCACGATGAACCGAGAGAAAACCACAGAGAGAGAGAACAACAGTCAAAGAAGATCAGAGGAAGCTTCGAAGCTCATGGTGGAGGAAGCTTCGAAGCTCACGGTGTCGTGACTCCAGAACCAGAGAGACAATCGGAGCAAGATCGCGACGTCGGGGAGTGAGAAGGGTCGCGACCACGGCTGAGATTTCAGAAGGAGGGACGATTAATGGCCACGAACCAGAGACTGAACTGAGCACGGCTGCGATAGAGGAAGGTACGATCGACGACCACGAACTAGAGGACTAGAGTTTGAATATACAGAAAACATTTAGAAAACTTACATGATATACACAAGCAAGCAAATTGCCTAATTCCTAATATACCATATATACAATATATATTCTCACAGTATAGTCCGATTGTTGGGTGATTTAGAAAAAAAACATGTTCAAGTGTAGCTAAAATGAGAATGTTGGGATAGATAAGTGGTGTTACCAAAAAAGATAAATTAAGAAATGAATTAGGAAGAAGTAAGAAGTAAGAAGTGACACCATTTGAAAATAAAACCGGGGAAAGTTATTTGAGATGGCATAGTCATATCATATGCACCTTTGGTCAATTAACACGTTTGTAAGGAGTGATTGGATCTACATGGAAGATTGATTTCTAGAGGTTTGAAAGCTGTGTGTGATATGCAATTTTTCAGTTTTTATTTTCCTTTTATGTTGTTCGTGGTGGACTCTTCTTGTTTGCCTTGCTATCTCTTATACTTATTTTACCATTCAATAAGGGGAAAAAAATAGAAATAAATTCCTAAATAAATCTTGTTTTTCCTAAACTTCTGTTGGTTATTCATTTGATGACTTCTTATTCCCAATTACTATATCCATATTTACATGTATCAAGAGTGGGAAAAAAAAATCAGATAACTTCATGAAGAATTACATATAAATGGAAAAGAAAATTGTGATAGGGTTTGGACCTTTGAGTCAAGCTCTAATGGGGAAGATGGAAGATGAAGAAGACAAGTAGAAAGGAAAAAATTGTACCTGGGCCTGGACCTGGACCTGGACCTGAAAGATACATGCTAGGCTTTGAGGTAGTTGCTAGGGGTACTACTTGGCTTTGGACCCAGAAGGGTAAACACTACTGTTTTGAGGCAGTTTCTAGGCTCTGGCTTTTTATTCTGAATAAAAATGGGACTGTGAACACATTTTTCTATTCTATGTTGTAATCATAAAGCTACTTCATGTATTTCATGTTTGGTAATGTTGGAAAATATGTTGATGTTATCATAGTTTTTAGGTTTCGGTTGGACTGCCTCATCTCAAGCTCAATTTGAGCTATCAAACTATTGGCCCATACCTTGATAAAACAGGATGAGGGTGTAGCTAGGTTGTGTGATTGCTGATTGCTGTTCCCTTGTTAGTTCAATAGTTGGCCTGTGTTTGGAATTGTGTGCTAGTGATGCACCAAAGAATCTTTGGATTTGAAGGGTTGAAGTTGTGTGGTCATGCTTTTTAAGCGGGTTAGTTCATACTGTTTCCTTTTGGTCGATTTTGAACCTTTCTCCTCCCTTATCCTTTTTCAAAATAATTTACTTCTGACTTGATAGAATTATTGCCAGCCAAATCCTTGAAGGATTGACTATTAGTTGTATAATTAAATTTGATTTGATTGCAGACAACTCATGTTGCAGCACAATATGGTCAAACAGCTTTCCTTTATCACATCGTCACAAAATGGAATGCTGATCCTGATGTTCCTGATAATGATGGAAGAAGCCCTTTGCACTGGTATTGCAGAATCTAACTCTACAATTTTAGTCTTTAATGATTAGTAAAAATTATAGTTTACTTCAGTCTATTATCTATTTATTTAATGACATTCGTATTATATGTTTCTTATCAATTTGTATATTTGTTATAACTTATAAGTTCTTGTGACATGGATTGAGAAAACACCAACGTTAACGAAAGTAGAACTTGAAAGTTCTTAGCAATATCTTCCTATGGTGATTTTTCATGTTGTAAAGTGTAAGAATCATGAGGTTTAAGTGACAAAATATTTGGTTAAAAGCCCATTTTTTCCCTAACCTGTTGTTTGAATTAATAATTATTGTTGTACCCTATGGGACATGAAATGTTGAAACCAAAGAGAAGATAAGTATGCTTAATGCTCTTTGGAGGGATCTAAAACATTGCAACATATGTGGTCTCAAAACCTTTGGTTTAATGGAAAGTAAGGCATTTTTGTATAAATATCATAAATTTTGTCAAAAATTAATGTGGAAGATTTTGTCTAGTAATCCTGTGGAAACATGTAATATATTTACACTTAGGTGGATAGATGGTTTTGTTTCAAAAGCCGTATGTTGTAAAGAAGTTACAATGATTTTGTTTACTGTATATTTCGTTATGTATCACACTATGCAATTTTTTTATTTTTTATTTTTTATTTTAAACTTACTTCCCAACTCTAAACCTAACTGCTAGTCATTTTCAATATGCAATGCAATGCATGGCACAGATGAAAAAATTGCTGCTCCCATCAAAGAAGGAAAGAAAAATAAAAGGGCAAGTTTGGCCTGTATGTATAAAAGAAATTAGCTTCCAGTAAAATTTTTAAGTCTGAACCAGTGATACCTTCGTCTGATATGCTTACATGTTGTCTTTGTTACGGAACACATTCTTGGAGTTTCATTGTGCTATCGTCTTGGTCCTGTCATCAAAATTTTGTTGTGTACACATGTGGAACTTGGAAGAGTTAGATTGTTGACCACAACTATTGTAAACAATTACTCTCAAAAAAATTAATTTTCTAATTTGTAGCCTTATCTTGTAGTTGAAGTAATGATACTTATCTTTGGAGAACTGTAGGGCTGCATATAAGGGTTTTGCTGATTGTATACGGCTTCTGCTATTTCTGGATGCATATAGGGGACGCCAGGACAAAGAGGGTAACTTCTCTTGCTTGGTCTTAAAATTCAGAAAATTTTACATTACTGCAGCTATGAAAGAGCTGCGTACACTGATGTAAAGTATTGACTTGCCTAATAAAACTAGTGTTTCTTACACTTGCCACCTCATAATTTTAGGTTGTACCCCTCTCCATTGGGCTGCTATTAGGGGCAACTTAGAAGCATGCACAGTGTTGGTGCAGGCTGGGAAGAAGGAGGACTTGATGGTGACTGATAACACTGGTCTTACACCGGCACAGCTTGCATCTGATAAAAATCACAGACAAGTTGCTTTTTTCCTTGTAGGTATTCTTAAACAGTTGTAAAGTATTTTGTTGTTTTTCCTGAGATAAGAGTGTACCTTCTTACAGGAGTTCAGGTTTTCAACAGCATGCCATCTTGTTTTTCACTGATTGGATAATACATAGAATGAGAATTGTTACAAGTGCACCATATTCATTCTTGCTACATACTGTTTTGTTTCTTCTTTTTCTCTTTTGTTTTCGTGATCATTTACAGAATTTTCATCATTTTGATACCTAACCAAACCAAACTAAGCCTTGTGTCTTAGTCAAACGGGGTCTACATGAATCCTTTATTGCCATTTTGTTCTGTCATGAATCATTTTGATACCCGTGTTTTAATTTTTTCTGTCAATATAGTTGTTTCTTGTATCTCCACTAAAACAAAAAGGATAATAAGGGAAAGAAGAAAATCAATTGTTTGGGACTTTTAATTCTTGATACTTTTGTTTCCCTTCTGCGTGTCTGATTTATTTATTTATTTTTATATTCAAGTTATCTTAACTGGCCTGTCAGAGTTGTCCTTAGATGTAGCATCTTGGCATTTGAGTATTCTGAAGGTTGTTATAACCCAATATATCAAGTGTTTATTGCACAATGGAGAAAGTTCCCAAGCTAACCTAATCAACAGAGCTATGCCCCAATTTTGATTCCTTAGCTCAGTTCAACAAACTGAATTATTTTGAAATTCTGAAGTTTTGACTAAAATTTCTGTTTGTCTATTTGTGTATGCATGTCTGCTTGCATAGTCTGATATAATATGCACAAGTTTGTTTTTGTTGACTCATGAAGTTTTTTAGCATTAGTTTGGGGGTTCTAATAGGATTTTTCAAATAATTTTTGTTACATTTTATCATTCATGTTTCTTAGAGTAGCACACTCTTTTCCATTTTCTTGAGAGTTGCTTTTTTTGTTGGAACTGGGAAGTAATCCAAACTCTTTGCTGAGTGGAAATTTAGACGTCTGTTTCTGTTATTGTTGATGGAAATCTATAGAAAAGCTTTGGTTTGCAATTTACTTGGATTTGCTACTGATTTTTAAAATTTTAGAGAATGAAATTTTTTAATTGTTATCTTTACCTCATTAATTATGTATATTTTTCCTTTTAGGTTTGTAAGCATTAGAATATATTTTTTGGGGGGGTACAGTTTTTCTTAAGAAAATTTTTATGAAAATAAATTTTTGCCCTTGTCTATTGGGATTTGATGTGTCTCAGAGCCAACTTTTAGCACATAAGTTCCTAGTTAGGACTTAATAGTTCTGGCAGCATCTCCTGGTTATTTTCAGATACAATTGCATTTATTTGAAAGATCCATTTAAAACTTGAAGTTACTTTATATCAAGAGATGGCAGGATGTCGATCTTTTCATTGAGTATCCATATTGGAATGAAATATTATTGGATGATTACAATCATTTTATTGGTATTCATGTTAATTGTATAGTTGGTTCTAAAATTTTAAAGCTTATTCTTTTATATAGTGTTCAGTGCTGGCTTGATAGTATGATAAAAGATTCTGGTTTAAGATGGCTTCTTGAGAAACTTTGGGTATCCATGTTGATTGTTTAAGTTCTTAATTTTTTAAGCATCTTCTTTTGCATAGTGTTCAGTGCTTGTATTGGCATGATATTAGATTATGCTTTGAGATTGCTTTTTGAGAAAATTATGATGTGTGGTAATACAATTTATTTATTTATTTATTTTTTCAATTAATCATCTTTGACGTCTTATGTGCTTTCACAAATTTTATTCGGCAGGGAAATGCTAGGAGGTTGCTTGACAAACGCTGTGATGGGAATAGCCGCCTTGGACGTCTTTCAAAATTAGGACTGGCACCATTTCTTTGGTGTATAATCTTCCTGCTTCTTGTTACCTATATTCATGCGGTCATCATGGGTATCTGCTCTGATCTTTGCATATGTGGTCTTGAATCAGAGTATTCATGTGATATATTATCCTTATAATCATATATCTTTCCTTTTGATACAGCTTCAAATTTGCCAAAGTTAACTGCTGGCTTTGCCCTTCTTGCGTGGTTGGGTGTGTTACTAGCGACTGCTGGACTGGTTTTGTTCTACAGGTGTAGCAGGTATGCTCTATAGATCTTTTTGCCATTATGGAACTTTATAAAGTAACCTTTCAATAATTAACTCTTTGTTTTCTAAATAGCTTGTGTTTTAAGTGGACATTGGCTTACTTGGTGGGTTTTTGTTGTGTTTCTTTCTTCCTTCCTTCCTTTCCTTTTTAGCATTTTGAACTTGTTCATTAATTTTTTATGTGTTGGGGAGGTCTGCTAGAGATGGGAGCAGTTTACCTGTTGGATATTTAGTTTAGTGTACATGAATTGAGAAATGGTTCTGAACAATTGTATTGAGTATTGCCATCATTGTGAACTATAGAAATTTAAAATATGATAAAAAAGTCAAAAAGTATATAAACTTGGATTTATAGTTTTTTATTTGCACTTATGGTTTTTACGTTGAGATAGGTATGTTCTAGTAGTTTGTGACTGTGCAGCTTGTTGAGAGTGGTATTTTATATATCATCATGTTTTAATTCGTGAATCAATGTAGATTATTATACTAGGACCATGAAAATTGCTTTGCCTGCATAAATATAGTTGCTTAAAGTTGGATGAAGTGTTGCCTCTTTATGAAAATTGGGTTGTTTTCTAAATTTTGTGGTGTATAAAACTCTGTTTGTTTGAGTTGGTTAGATTTTGGTCCTTTACAAGCAAGGTTTTAAAAAGCGGCCGCAACCGTTACGTAACGGTTTTGGTGGTTTCCGCCACCTGTTACGGCCGCTGTTGCAGTGTGATCGAGATTCACAGGTGTGTCGGCTGTAGCGGCTGCCGTAGCGGTTGTAACGGTGCTGTAACAGTCGTAACGGCCTGTTACGTAGTTACATAACGGTTCCAAACTGTTTCTTTCGAAAAAACACAAAAAAAAGCTGAAAATGGTGGAAGAGGGATAGAGAGAAGAGGGAAGATAAAGAGAGAAGATGGAAGAGCAAGAGATAGAGAGAGAAGACGGAAGATGAAGAACATGTTATTGATTTGTTGAAATTGTAAGACCTATGCTATTCTATTCAGCTGCTATCACTCAACCATTTTATTTGTGTGTGTCTATCTATATATTGTTTGATAATAATAATAATAACAATAATAATAAAAAATGTGGTCATTATCTATTTGGTTTGGTTAAAATATGTATATATATATATATTTAGACTCTTATTTATTCTCTTACTTTTGTCATTGTTTATTTTATATATAATAGTTAGTGATGGATTTTTTGTATAATATAAAGTCATTAATTATTTAAATAAAATGTAAAAAACTCAGTTTATAGTGATTTAAAAATATAAAATATATTGGATCATACTTAAAAATTTACAAAAATTGATTAATATTTATTTTAAACTCAATAAATATGATCATGGAAAAAATATATGCATATCGGTAAGTTTTTTTTAAATTGTGCTAGAAATAAAAAAATTCACGGTTCCGGTTACTGCAACCGTTACGCTACGGCCTTTACATCCCGCAACCGCAACCGCGCTACCGGAACCGTTACGGTGACCGCAATCGCTTTTCAGAACCTTGTTTACAAGATAGTTTGTCTACTTGATTGCATTGGACTTCATTTGTTTCATTAATGAGACATGTTTCCTTGCTCACTGGGTTTCATGCTTAGCACGAACACGGATATGGACATGGACACCGACACGGGACACGGCAATTTTCAAAAAATGGGGACACAGACACAGTGGTGGACATGGCGAATTTTTTTATTATTATATATTTTTACGTGTTATGTAGATTCATATTACATTCATCCTAAATCAAAATTAACAAACACTAACATAGTAACATTAATTCAATAAATAACCACTACATTTAAATAAATTAATAGATCATTCATTCACAAAAAAGTCATAATAAACGATAACAAGAATTAAGACGAGAAGGGGAAAACATTCAACATCCAACAATATTCTTCACAAAAGCACTAAATAAGATAGGCAAAAGAAGGGGGAAAAAAAAAAGTAAAAAAAAAAAGTGAGTCCTACTGTGTCCTGATATGGACAGGCGTGTTCTCGCTGTGTCCCCTATAAAAAAATCATTAAATTACGTGTCCCCGGTGTGTCCCCGTGCCGGACACCGCCATGGCATTGATTTTGGAGTGTCCATGCTTCATAGGTTTCATGTCAATGGGGACCTCTTGCTATTCTATTTTAGGTTTCTTCATAGAATTCCTATGACCTCTTTTCAAATGATTTTATTTTATTTTATTTGGAACAGTGAGTCCTGCTGTGTCCTGATATGGACAGGCGTGTTCTCGCTGTGTCCCCTATAAAAAAATCATTAAATTACGTGTCTCCGGTGTGTCCCCGTGCCGGACACCGCCATGGCATTGATTTTGGAGTGTCCATGCTTCATAGGTTTCATGTCAATGGGGACCTCTTGCTATTCTATTTTAGGTTTCTTCATAGAATTCCTATGACCTCTTTTCAAATGATTTTATTTTATTTTATTTGGAACATTGTGCATTGAATTCTGTTTCGTTAGTGGAACATGATTCCTTGTTCTCATTGATTTCATGTCAATAATGACCTCTTGCTATTTTATTGTAGGTTTCTTCATATTTTTCCTGTGAGCTCTTTTCAAATGTTTTTTTTTCCTCGAAAGTGTATTGATATTTTCTTCCTGGGGAGTAACACCATGTTCTTCTTTGCTTTCTCTATCATTGTTCTTCTGCCTATATATAACCAAACTCTCTCTCTCTCTCTCTCTCAATGCTCGCTTGCTGGTCACCGAGGCAGGGTTCTATTTGTGTTCTGTTCTCTGCAATAAATTCTAATGTCATCTTTCATAGTATTGCTCATCAATATGGATGTCAGCCCAAACTTTTATTTTCTGTTCAGCATCTTCCTCCATATGTGCCCTGTATAATTTGACCTCAGTACAAAGAAATTTCACTGTTTGATATTATCATATTACAAGATTGCTACTAATTTTAACATTTCACGTCTATATGTGTTGCTTAGACTGATTGTAGTAGTCATCACATGTCTTGTTAATATTGGTGTAACAACTCTGTGACATCAATGATGGAAGAAACACTTCTTATTTGAATCTATCTCCGCATTGTTATATTTCATATTCACAATTATTAAAATTTTCGATTATGCTTATATATATTGTTGTCTAAATTTGATTTTGGTTGATTTTTGTTTGTAGCAAAGATCCAGGTTTCATCAGAATGAATGTTCATGATTCGCAGAGTGTGAAAGATGATGTAAGTTATTTCCATATTCAATTCAATCTCTCGTTTTCTGGATTAATTTCATTGTTCAGATTTCTTTGCTCCTCCAAATTTTCGTGCTTCTCTTCGTGCATTTTTTATTTTTATTTATTTTTTACTTCAGATTTATCTTTGATATTAAATGTATGTCTACTTTTATATCGCACTACAAAATGGTTTTAAATCGGTTTATATTCCTATCTTCACTAGGAACCTTTGTTGAAGATTGAGATAAATAATCCTGCTTTGCTGGCTGGCAATTGGTCTCAGCTCTGTGCAACATGCAAGGTGCTGTGAACTTCTGGTGATTCTGTGTCCTACTTGTTACTCATTTGTTTGTTTTGATTGCTTTCTAATGTGATTTTTTTGCCCTATCAGATTGTCAGGCCTCTTCGTGCAAAGCACTGTTCCACCTGTGATCGTTGTGTTGAACAGTTTGACCATCATTGCCCTTGGGTGTCCAACTGCATCGGAAAGGTGCTTTTGACTTTGAGGGTGTATCTTGGGACCTTCCATTTTTTACCTGAATTTTTGTGTAGAGGAAATATTATATTAATGTCCTTTAGGCATCAAGGATTTTGTGGCTGGACTGCCTGATCTTAAACAACCGTTTTAAAAACCTCACCTGCCATTTGGATACATCGTTACACACATGAAGATATGAATACAGACATGCCTACATAACTGCATACACCTTTGTGGCATTGCTGTATATGAAGGCACATGCACGGATACTATCTTGAGGATTTATATCTTAAATTTCATTGGCTCAATATACAAAATCGTACATTTCTGACTTGGGGATTTAATAATTCGTCCCTAGCCCAAACTGGTTTTCCCTCCTTTATGACATGTGTATGTGGCTGGAGTTGATAAAATTTCATTACCGTTTGTTAAGTTGTTTGGGTAAATTATGTAAATGGTCCCTGTAGTTTACACGATGTATCAATTTGGTCTATGTTATTTCAATTTGCTTGGTTTTGCTCTTTAATTTAATGGATTGTGTCGTATTAGTCCAATAAATAATGGTTGTTAGGTTTGGTGGACGGAAATTTGGTCATTGCAGTTTACACGATGTGTCAATTTGGTCTCTGTTGTTTTAATTTGCTCGATTTTGACAGGGATCAAATTGATACATCATTTGACTTTCCATCCACCAAACTTAACAGCTGTTATTTATTGGACTAATATGACATAATCTGTTAAATTAAGGGGCAAAATCGAAGAAATTGAAATAATAGGGACCAAATTGACACATCCAATTGACACAACCATTTACATAATTTTCCATTCCTTACTTCTGCAAGTGTATTAGTCTTGTTTTTGTAATTATTCCGGCTTATCTTGGTCCGTTTATTTACTTGTGATACAGAAAAACAAATGGGATTTCTTCCTGTTTCTTATTCTAGAAGTTTCTGCAATGCTGATCACTGGTGCAGTCACCCTTGCAAGTGAGTGTCTTCTTCTTAGTTGCTGATCTTCAGGCCATTTTTTAAGTCACTCATATAAGGTTTTTTCCATTATCATTTTATGGTCCCTTTTTTTTTGGGTTGCTTTACCTGCTGAAAAAAAGTAAGTTTTTCTTCCTTTTTTTATTATAAATTATTATTTACAATGCAGGAGTTGTGACTGATCCAATGGCTCCATCTTATTTTGGAGCATGGGTGAACCATGCTGGTACTCAGCATATTGGTGCTATTTCATTTCTGATTGTGGATTTTTTCCTCTTCTCTGGTGTGGCAGCCTTAACTGCAATGCAAGCTTCCCAGGTGTGTTTATAATTCTTTCTGTTAGCTTGCACATCTCGTTTGTCTCGACTGCGTAGAGAATTTGCTCTTAATTAAGCCATAATGCCAAGAAATGTGTATTATTATGTAACATTCGAACAATATGGATAACAATGATACGTGCCTTGTCTTAGACTCTTGATACCCTCCGTACTAGAATGTTGTGGGGAGGTTTGCCATACATTCTACTAATGGTGTCCATCTAAGAAGCACAGATACGTGACAACATAGACATGTCGACACATAAATTTTCAAAAAATGTAAAACATGACATGTGCGGGACACATATTTATATGCCATGATAAGGAAAAACACTTATTTATATCTCATATAATACCATTTAATTCGAAGGCAATAACAAAATGCTATGTACCACTAATTTTTAAATTCCGAAGGAAGGAATAGGTTCCCCATCTTATAAAAAAAAAGGGAAGAAAAAAGACACAGAAGGAGGATAGATATAAATTTATATTATTTTTCTTCTATTATTGGCTTTCAAATTATTTTATTAAAATTTGTTTCATATTTCATGTGTGCCTAAGCAAATTTGCCCGTGTTCTCTAAGTGTCTAAAGCTTGTCTAGGTCTAAATTTTTTTTAAAATTAGTGGGACATATTTTGAGGTTTGTTTGACAAGGGTTGAGAAGTGTTCCATGAGTGTTGTGTTCGTGTCGGACACTACACGCTACCTTTTTAGAAGTGTCCATATTTCTTTGGTGTTCATCCATGTAGATGTTTCCTTTCAGGCATCTAAATCCATTCCAAGTACCTTCTAAATAATGCTTCTGATTTTTTTAGTGGAATATCCCTCATTTGTTCCAAAATTGGTAGATATGGCTTTACCTTTTATCTAAATGCATTTCGTTTTTATTGACCAATTATTTTACTTCTGTGTGCACCAATTAATTCGCAGATATCACGTAATATTACGACAAATGAGATGACAAATGCATTGCGTTATAGCTACCTTAGAGGACCAGGTGGTCGGTTCAGGAACCCATATGATCATGGATGCAAGAAGAACTGTTCAGATTTCTTGATCAACGGCTACAATGAAGACATAGAGCATAATGAAGAACCGGCTGAATCTGAGGGGATCGGAATGGTGCAAATGACTCGGAATTCAACGGTTCAAAATGGGGTTGGCCATTCTCATCATCAAACCAATGGTAATAGCCACGTTATAAATGTGAGTAATAACCCGAAAAATCATCAAGGTCACGTTCATTCTTCCCAATGTAGTCATAGTAACCATGGAAAAACCGAACCTGTTCCGTTAGGTTTGGGTCTTGGCCTGGGACGGAACAATGCTCGTTCTGTTGTAGCTTCATAATGAAACACACGGTATTCACTGTAGGTGTTGGAATCTGCCATGTTTTGTATCTGTAACTGTTCATAACCGTTCACTCCGTTTAGCTTCTGTAATTCAATTGATTAATGCTCTTTTTTGGCTTTGTGATTATGCTCTCTTTCGGTCGATCATATTCCTTGATCAGTTGTGGCGGAAGAGATTTGACGAATTTTGTATCTGACTCTGTATGAAATATATATGGAATGAGAAGAATTTTCCGTTGTTTGCACTTTAACGCTCTATTTGTTCTCATAGAAAACATTTCTCTGAACTTTTTAGTACACGTTTTCTTTTGTTTGGATGTGACTTTAAAACTAATGTGTTGATATTCGTCGTGGAGTTGGTAATGTAGTGGCATTATTAATTTAGTTTGGAAAATGATTTTTACCTTTTTAAAGTGAAAACTATGTTTTGTACGCTGTGTTTAGTTAGAGAATTTGAAGAGAGATTTAGAAAGAGAAAGGAAAAATGGGTGTAAAATTAAGTGAAATGTAAGTATATTTTATTCACATTTCACCTACATTTTCTATTTTTTTTTTTCAAATCCTCTTAAATTTTTCAACCAAACACAACATTAGAGAACTATAAACTTGTTTTTTCATTTTTTGTTTTTGATTTTCAATAAATATTTTCTGCTTAAATAACTGGTGTGCGAGTGCGCTAGTATTTTACATTTTTTATTTTTTTAGGATAAATTATCAATACGTCCTAATAAATGGATTTAATTCCTATTAAATCTTATTAAAAATAAGCTTTTGTAGAATCGTTATTAAAAATAATTTTTTGTGATAATTTTTTACATGTCATTAAAAATTGATAATTAATGATTTTGTTTTTTTATTACGGTTTTTATAAATTGTCGTTAAAACTTACAATTAGTAACGTTTTTCTATGATAAATTTTTTAATCTGTCGTTGAAAATTAAAAATTAGCGACATTTTTTTGTCATAATTTTTTTAAACTGTCGCTAAAACTTATAATTAGTGACATTTTTTATGACAATTTTGAACTGTCGTTGAAAGTTAACAATTAAGAAATTTTTTTTAATAATGTATACCGCCGTGATTAAGACCCCCTCAGATTCCCACCCACACCACCCCCA